CAGCTCCCACACTTTAAAAGTAGGGATCATACCCATGACAGAGGAAACGTGATTCTTGCTTTCCAAGACTCTCCCCACTGAGGTGGGAAAGAGCAGAGCCCTGCCCACCTGATCACGAAAAATAAATGCACAATGAGAGCTCTCTGGTCCCAGAGAGCCTTTGAAAATGTGGGTCGTGCTGCCTGTCACTGGCATGATCCAGGCTTTCAAAGGACGGAAGCTGTATGCAGCGATTGTTTTTCTGAGTTTAAGAAAATAACACCCACTCCTCTTGGTCACCTCATGAAGTCACATATGAGCAAGCACTCATCCCCACCCCCACCCCCTGAAATTCATCCTACCCACCATGAAAGAGGCGGGGAAATGCTTTCCTCTTTCACAGGGAATGAAGAGTTTTGAGAAAACCGGTGTTTGGAGATGACACAGCACCAGTAAAAGCTGAAAGGTGGGTTGTTCTAATTTCCTTTAAGACTCTCCAACTATCCAAAAGTCTTCTGCTCTCTTAAAAGGCTCTGCCTTTCCTCTTTTGCTTCTCTTTATGCTTGGAACTCCTTCCAGGAAAAGAGAGTAGATAGGGCCACTGCCCTCTCTTCCTGCAAACTCTCCTCAAAGCCCACCTTTCCCTTCAGGCTTTTGGCTTAACTTGGTTACAGTTGGGAGGATGAAGATAAAAACTGGGTAGGGTGGGGTGGTGCATTTGCTCACATTAACTGCTTCCTCCTTTTTTCTTTACCTCCCTTTCTGCATTGTTTTCATTGTTTTCAGTTCTTGGTTGTAGGTCCCTCGGGGCTAAGAGCTTTTGGTTATAAAACTCCAGAGCACTATCAACAGAACTGCAGAAATTAATTAGGAGATTGGGAGGAATACAAGCTAATTGCTCTATGGGAGGGGTGAAGAGTTGTCTTTAAGTGCTTTTGTGTTTTATTTTATGAAAAAGTGGGTCTTCTCTAAATGACTAGAGACCAATGTCATTGCAGTTTGATTTGACCAGCGGTGGGGAACGTGCAGCCGTTCACCTGTTATTGGTCTTCAGCTCCTATCAGCTGCAGCTCAGCCAACATGATCAGGGATGATGGGGAGTATTGTCCAGGAGTATTGCAAGGTTCCTTCCACTGGTTTAGACCAAAAACACAAGAAGCACAAGCCCTAGGAACAATAAAATAAATTCAACGAACTCTGAAACAATGAAAACATTCTACACAAACTCTTAAAAACGTCAAATATGAAATCAGTCTTCCATTAATGACTGTGTCAGACCACATGGGAAGCCTTTCTAAACAAAAATGATTCAACAGTCACCTAAAGATTATCACACTAGATGCCTGTCTGATTTTGACTGGTAGTTGATTCCAGGGAGCCGCAGCTGCAACACTAAAAGCCCAGCTTCCAATACAGGCTAAGCATACCTCTGGGATATATGGTACGTACTCTCATCAGTACCCCATCTGAGGAGGCCCAGTTGCTGGGCAGGGATGGAGTGGACAAGGCAGACCCTTGGATATCTTGGTCCCATTTTGTTTAGGGCTTTGAATGCTAAAAGGAGGGCTGTAAATTGCACCCAATCATATTGGCAGCCAGTGCAGCTCCTCTAGCAAAGGAACTCAACCAAGTACACTAGTGGTTAAGAGCGGTGGAATTGTAATCTGGTGAACCGGGTTTGATTCCCCACTCCTCCACATGTAGCTGCTGGGTGACCTTGGGCTAGTCATACTTCTCTGAAGTCTCTCAGCCTCACTCACCTCACAGAGTGTTTGTTGTGGGGGAGGAGGGGAAAGGAGACTGTGAGCCGCTTTGAGACTCCTTAGGGTGGTGATAAAGCGGGATATCAAATCCAAACTCTTCTTCTTCTATGCTAGTAAACAAACTGACTGCTGCCTTCTGCACCAGCTGCAACTTCTTTGCACAGTGCGTGGTTGAAGTACAGAATTCACCAATATGGATGGCTTTAGGAAAAAAATCATGGCGTGGGAAGCTATCAATGACTACCAGTCCTGATATTGTATTATCTCCACTGCTGAAGGGAGTATGTCTCTGAATACCAGTTGCTGGGGAGCTGGGAGAGAGCTATCACACTTGTGGGCTTCATATAGGCATCTGGTTGGCCAATCTGAGAACAGACTGCTGGATTAGATAAGGCATTGGTCTTACCAAGCAGGTCTCTTCTCACGACTCAAACAAACCCCTGCGTTGCAGTACAGAATGTCATCCAAAATTTACAATTCATCAACTTCAAAAATATATATCAGTCGATAACCAAGAAGTAGTACAGTATATCCAGATTGAATCAACTGGTTAGTGAGCTCTGATCCACAAGTATTACATTTACCTGTATGGATATTCCATGGGTAGGCAAACTAACGCCTGGGGGCTGGATGCGGCCCAATCGCCTTCTAAATCTGGCCCGCGGATGGTCCGGGAATCAGTGTGTTTTTACATGAGTAGAATGTGTGCTTTTATTTAAAATGCATCTCTGGGTTATTTGTGGAGCACAGGAATTCGTTCATTTCCCCCCTTCAAAATATAGTCTGGCCCCCCACAAGGTCTGAGGGATAGTGGACTGGCCCCCTGCTGAAAAAGTTTGCTGACCCCTGGGATATTCTATCTAAAACTATTTGCTGATGAAGATTCATCTTCGAAACAGTTTATTCAATTATGGGTATACTGTCTTGGAGATAATCTATTGAAGGGAGTCATGGTGCCCCCCCCAGCAATTCATTTCATTGACTACTTCTTGGTTATGGACTGATATATATATATTATTTTGTAGCTGATGAATTGTAAATTTTGGATGACATTCTACTACTAATAATAACACATTTGCTTATTCATTAGCCATTGTTGCTGTATTTGAGCAGATTCTTCTCACGACTAAGCATGCTCACTCACTAGCCCCTTTCTATGGAATTGTCGTCCTTATTCCTTGGGTGCGCATGTGTAGCAATATATAGTAAAGGTAACCCCTGACCATTAGATCCAGTCGTGACCAACTCTGGGGTTGTGGCGCTCATCTCGCTTTAATGGCCGAGGGAGCCGGTGTACAGCTTCCGGGTCATGTGGCCAGCATGACTAAGCCACTTCTGGTGAACCAGAGCAGCACACGGAAACACCGTCTACCTTCCCGCCGCAGCGGTACCTATTTATCTACTTGCACTTTGATGTGCTTTCGAACTGCTAGGTTGGCAGGAGCAGGAACCAAGCAACGGGAGCTCACCCCGTCGCGGGTATTCGAACCGCCGACCTTCTGATCGGCAAGTCCTAGGCTCTGTGGTTTAACCCACAGCGCCACCCGCGCCCCTGTAGCAATATATACATGTCTACAAAGACAGTGTACGGAACATAATTCCCCTGCCCCTGCCCCAAAAGGTTATTCTGCAGCTCAGAATCGAAAAATCACTAAACACAGGCATCTAGGAGGATCTCAAGGGATGAATTCTCCCTTGTTAAATATAGGCTCAGATTGTGTGACACCAAATTAAAAAAAGAAAAGAAAAAGGGAATTTCATAGTCACGATCCCTTCATTAAATTTAATGGAATGTTTTCTTCTTGTAGTTTTTCACAAGTACTCAAATACCGTGAATCTGAGTGATTTTTCATGCAACCCATAGTTTTGAACATTCAGCTGATATACTTATTAATTCATACACATGAAGCAGGCAGAAGGTGAACATCGAATTCTGTTCCATGATGAAGAAAGAATACTGAACTGTAGTTGTTTCATTTGACAAAAAGCAGAAATGAATTCGTACTGTGATTATTGCAGGAAATAGTTTAGTGTGACAACTGGATCACCCCCCCTCCCATCTAGAAAATGGCAGCATTGCCCCAGACAAGTTGATGTCTGAAGTAAACAGTATTTGGGAGAGAAGAGAGGGAATTGCCTGCCCCGATTCATCAGATTCTATGGTCTGTTTGCATTATTCTTTGCTCGTTCTGCCCCATGGTCTCTTCCTGTTGCTTCACCCCCAGTATCCAGCATTCAAGAACTACATATCATATTCAACTGTGCTTGGCTGTTGACTAGCTACAAGACTAATCAGAAGCAAGAATGGACCCAGTGACCCTGACCTGCTGCTCTCATCAAGCCCCTAAGGAAGCAAATAGATGCAGGTCCCACCATCGAAACACAATGCATTCTCAGGAAATCATTTGTAAGGCAAGCGCTCACATAATGAATCAATGATTTCCATTGATTCCTATGAGAAGATTTCTGATGTATTCCCGACCATAGAATTTTGATCCCAATATGATGGAAAAACCCAGGAAAACTCAAGAAGACCCTCTGAAGCCTTGCAAAAAGCAAACAAGGAATGAAAAATGGTTCTTTTATTTGTCCAATCTCTACCCCTTTCTCCCCCCTCTCTTCCTCCCTCCCTCCTTCCCTCTCAGCATGGTTTCTGGCGAAATGGCCGCCACAGACCAGCAAAACACAAAAACTAAGGCTTGTTTAAGGCTTCTTATTTGTTTAGAGTACTACATGTAGGTCGGGCTGTTAGGATATCCAAATCTGCAGAGTGAATAGCGAGGTTTGGGTCCTAATTCCATGTGTTTTGGATAAGTGAATTTTTGTATAACAAGTGTTTGGATAACAGGACCTGCATGTATGTGACATTTTATTTGAAAACATTTATAATTTGAAAACATTTATAATTTATATTGAAAAGGAAGTATCTAAGCATCATTTAACAGTATATTTCATTACATTTGGTGACTATTTTCTGCCCCATCTGAGTATTGCCCCTCCCTAAGTTTGTTTGTTTGTTTTTCCAATTAATAATATTCCAATTGGTAACAAATCAAATCAAATCATAATACAAACAATAAAGCCAATTATACATTCTGAATTAAATAAAATTTTAATCGGGCTTCCCATGTTCTGGATGTTGGGGAAAAGTCTCTTTCACTAGTTCCTGCATCCTTCTCACTTGTTTTCTTTCCAGGTTCATAAATCCAATCTTCACCCAATTTATCCTCACAGTCCTGGCTTTTTCTTTTTTCTTTTAAAGAATGGCAAACTGCCACATGTAGCGCCTTACTTGGATGTGTCTGGAGTCTTGGAAGCTTGACAACCCTACGTTCTCCTACAAGTGGACCTTGAGCTTGTCTGGAGGTTCTAGCTTGAGCTTGTCTGGAGGTTGTATACCCTTGGCCACAGAATGGTACACTCCTTCCATCTGGGATGGTCGTCCTCTTCCACTGAGCGTGCAGTTTTGGGAGGGACACACATGGAGCGGTGAGGGAGGAAGGACACATCCGCCTAGCCAGCCAGATCTGCCAAATCAATGCTGGCGATCAATGGGGTGACAGATGTTGCAGCCAGATCGCCCTCACATCTGCCCCTCCCTAGTGACACTGCTAGACAGTCGAGTTGACATTAGCTAGTATTTCTTTATGCCCATCCTTCAGCATTATTAGCCTTGTACTTCGTAAAAGGGATGAGTGGAACTACCTGATTGGTTCTGTTACATGGCAAAGAGGGGAGTGAAATAATTCTCTTCTGCCAGAATCCCAGTCTGGATTGCAGAGTGGGTTCTGCCATTCTTTTCACTATTAGGGTCAGTGTTTTGCTGGATTGGAAAGGTTTCAGGATGTGAAGAAGACATCTAGTGGTAGGCACTTTGTTGCATCCCAAGAGCCCTGCTCCATATTATTATTATTATTATTATTATTATTATTATGTCCAGTTCTGGGCACCACAGTTCAAGAAGGACACTGACAAACTGGAACGTGTCCAGAGGAGGGCAACCAAAATGGTCAAAGGCCTGGAAACGATGCCTTATGAGGAACGGCTAAGGGAGCTGGGCATGTTTAGCCTGGAGAAGAGGAGGTTAAGGGGTGATATGATAGCCATGTTCAAATATATAAAAGGATGTCACATAGAGGAGGGAGAAAGGTTGTTTTCTGCTGCTCCAGAGAAGCGAACACGGAGCAATGGATCCAAACTACAAGAAAGAAGATTCCACCTAAACATTAGGAAGAACTTCCTGACAGTAAGAGCTGTTCGACAGTGGAATTTGCTGCCAAGGAGTGTGGTGGAGTCTCCTTCTTTGGAGGTCTTTAAGCAGAGGCTTGACAACCACATGTCAGGAGTGCTCTGATGGTGTTTCCTGCTTGGCAGGGGGTTGGACTCGATGGCCCTTGTGGTCTCTTCCAACTCTGTGATTCTATTATTATTATTATTATTATTATTATTATTATTATTATTATTATTTATATCCCACCCATCTGGCTGGGTTTCCCAAGCCACTCCAGGTGGTTTCCAACGAAAAATTATAAATACATTAAAACGTATTCCTTACATTTATATCCCTTTTCCTCCAAGCAGCTCAAGGTTGTGTACATGGTTTCCCCCCCTTCTCATTTAATCCTTTCAACAACTCTGTGAGGTACGTTATGCTGATAGGCATAACTGGGCCAAGGTCACCCAGTGAGGGATTTGAACCATGGGCTTTCAGGTCCTAGTCCGACACTTGAAGCGCTACACCACGCTGCCTCCCGTCATAGTACGGAACTGGTGTTTTTACCACCCCTTCAGTGCATAACAAACCTCTCCTCTTGTGATACTTCTCCATTGCCAGGAGATTTGTTTTAGTCAAGGGTGGGTGAAAATGACAACACACATCTCTCTTGGATGGATTGGGCCATTGGGATGAAGGGATGATGGGTTGTGCATATCTGGTCAGTAGTTCAGCCCTAGTTTCTGGTGGGCACAGGGCTCCAGCCCTGTTTAATAATCTTCATCCATTTCTCAATGGTCTCTAAACCCTGTTGAGGAAATATTAAAATATTCTGCCTGAGAATTCAAAAGCGTGTTCCCATCTTGCGTGTGTGCTAACGGCTTCTCAGATACATTTGCACATCTATATCTGGCAGGTTTAAAAATAACGTTAATAGCCGTGAGAGTGAGCTTTCTCTAATTATTCTTGTAGATTTCAGAACCATCCAACTTACTCCACTGTCAATCATACATTTCATTTAAGAGCTTGCTGGTAGCTTCTCTCTGTCTCCGTATTGCCCCTACTAATTAGTGCTCTCTCTCACAGAGAGACATTTTCACAGTGTTTAGCAGAGCTTTGTAATAATATGTAGTTATGAAATTAGGAAAGTACTGCAGATGTTTTTATTGGGGTTTTACAATCATAATTAAAATCAGCTTAGCGCAGGTGCTTGACAAAGATCCATTACACAGCCTTATTGTACTTACATCTGTATGGCAGTTGCTGAATGCCCTGGATAAATGGAAGGCAGCCAGAAACAGGAAGGCAAGGCTCTATTCATGAGCAAAACCTTTTAGCACTAATTCAGGTGTCCCTTGCCTATTAGGTACTTAGGGTTCACTCCTACTCAAAAAACGGTGTGGGTGTTGAGAAGCTGGAAGATATATTCACAAGCTTAATGATGGTGGGAGGAACAGAAAGAAGGGAAGAAGTAATACAAAGAGAGTTTCAGAGTGCTGGGCTGCCAGGAGCCCTAGATTTGGGTGCACTGTGCAAATAGGAGGCAGAAATGCTCCACTCCTGGGTAAAGGCCACCTGGGCAAACACAGGTGGAAGTAACAAGGTCTTGTTGTCCAGAGGCTTGGCATAGTTTGACTTGGAAGTCTCTATAGTGAAGGTGGAAAACCTGTGAGTGTGATGGCCTGGGATTCAAACTCGGAGGCTGAACCTGAGGAATCCCAGCCTGCACAGGAGTCCCCGCCTCCAGAACCAGCTGAGCCGGGGCTGGGGCTTGAGCCTGAAGGGTCCTCACCTGTGCTGGATCCTCAGGTGCAGGCACCAGCTGAGTCTGCTCTGGCTCCTGAGGTGATGGAGGACCCATTGTGCTGGTCCCGGGGGGAAGGTTACCGTTGGTGTAGTCAAAGTCCGGTCCTGGGTCACTAGCCTGGAAACAGTTCACAAGGAGCGGGGCGAGGTCCGAAGCAGGAAGCCGGGCGGGGACAGGAACACTGGAGGGTCAGGTCTGGGTCCGGGCAGGAACAGGTACTCAACAACGACGTTGCTCCCGCAACCTGGGACTGGGCTGACTGGCCTTTATCTTCTCTGAGGCCAGGGGCGGTCCCGGCCCCCAGGAGACCCGCCTCTCCTGGCCTTAAGGCGAGCACTCCTCCTGGGAGAAACCAGTTCCCTTCACCTCTCTGCCCTGAGCCTCTGCATTTCAGGAGAGGCTGAAGGGTTACTGGGCCCAGGGGGAGACTCACCTGTAGGCACTGAGTCCTCAACCACCTCTGGAGCCAGAGTGGATTTACCTGGTGCCTGCTCCTGAGGATCCGGCACAGGTGCAGGCACCTCAGAATCAAGGCCCTGCCCCAGTTCAGCCGGCCCTGGAGGCGGGGACTCCTGTGCAGGCTGGGATTCCTCCGGTTCAGCCTCTGAATCGGATTCCCAGGCCATCACACCCATTGCCTGCAGGTGCTCCTCTCTCAGCCCCGTCAGGGGAAGCTGAGGTTGCCTCTGGGTCCGGTAACCCTCCAGCCTCTCCTGAGCTGCAGAGGCTCAGGGCAGAGAAGCGGAGGGAACTAAGTTCCCACAGGAGGAGTTCTCGCCTCCAGGGCAGGAGAGGCGAGTCACCTGTGGACCGGGGCCACCCTATGCATCGGGGCAGATAAAAGCCAGTCCCAGGTTGCGGAAGCAACATTGTTGGTAGCCTGTTCCTGCCTGCACCCTGTCCTGTTCTTCTGCCAGAGTTACTGACCTCACCTGACTCCCTGTCTTGGACCCTGCTTCAGCTTTGACGGACAGCCTCCATACCGCACCCTCGACCTCGGACTGGACTCTGACCTCGCCTCATGGTTAACTCTCGGGACCAGCACAGTGAGCTTCCAGACAATGCTGGAGTACAATTCCTATTGTCTCTGGCCTTTGGCTATGCTAGCTGTGGCTGCTGGGAATTGGAGTCCCAACAACATCTGAAGGGCCACATGTTGGCCACTCTTCTGTTAAGTCAGGAATAGAGAATTGGCTGCACGATGGGCATTACATAAACAGAGAAAGTTCTAACCTACAGCCCTCCCACTGCTCACCAAATGGGACAGCAGAGAACATGTCATTCTATCCTGTCTCAAGGCCAGAGCTGGCCCTATCCATGGGGCAAGGTGAGGTGACCTCCTTGGACAGCAGGATCTACAGGGGCAGCAGAGCCAGTCTCCAAGGCATGCATTACCTGCTGCTGCTGCCACCATGGTAGCAGCAACAGCTGTGGTGTACTCCTTGGAGCCTGGATTTGCTCCCTGTGTGGTTTCCCAGGCTCTGCACCCATCCAGCATGATTCAGAGCAGACCCCTTTTCCCCCCCTACAACAGCCTTTGATACCCACTTCAAACCATCAGCTAAGTTTGGTTTTATTCCTCTGCCGCGCCCACCCACCCCCGTTCACAATGGAGATCAACCCTTGTGGTCGCCGTGTATCATGGTTAATTTTATCACCTTATTTCCCATTCCTTTCTTCCATTTTCCATTCTTCCATTCCATTTTATCACCTTATTTCCTTATATTCCTTTCTTTTTGCCCTTTCAAAGATCCCTTCCTCCACATGTTCCTTTCACTTTTGCCTTAAAATGCAACCACTGCTGTTCTGACAGCACTGCTTGAAAAATATTTATACCCAAGGCTGATAGGCAAGTTTTTCATTCAACCATGACCTCCGATTGACACACTTTTGACTGGTTTACTAGCTACTTAATGCTGGGGGGGGGCAGCATTGACCCTTGGAGAATTGTCTGTGTTGTTGAGAGAAACCCCCCCCCCCACTAGTTTTTCTAGACAGAACATTTTGTGCTAGAGCTGCTCAGAAAAGAAAACCTCTCAGTTAAAAAGAATTTCCTGCTGTGCTGAAAACATTTCCCACATTTCCCCATCACTCTTTATCAACTAATGAGAAAAGAAATTGTGTTCAAAAATTATCAAAGGGGGGATTTGGGGGGTGAGGTTCTCATGGGTGGGGTGCATGGTTTCTGTTGTTTTCTGAGTGAATGATGGAGTGCTTCTCAGCATCCTGACCAGTGCTGGATTAAACCCTGTGGAGGCCCCTAGGCAGTAAAAATCTTGGGGGGTCCCTCACAAATTATCTGGAGTCAGCAGGAACTCAGAACATGCTAACTCACAGAAAGCTTGTATCTGGAGGTTTCTCATGTGCATCCTTAGTGGAATAACATTGAGGTAAGAACAGTTGGTTGTAATTTTCATTGTTGCAGGCACCCTAAAAGGCTTAGGGCCTACTCTGCCTATTTGACAATCAGGCACTGATCCTGACTTTCATTATACATATCATCTTACCTGTGCCATGGTCCGTACCCTGCACCCATCCCTGTTATGACCAGGGTTCTGAGCTCTTCCCCCC